TTTCACCGTATTTAGAAAATTTAAATATAGCATGGAATTGTTTGACAACAACGGGATATTTATTTCTTATGGCGCGATTACACTTAACAACATAACCTAACCCGAATACCAATGGAATTCGGGTGAACGTCTAAGTGTAAATGAACGAAGAAGCATTCGGGTAGATTTCCTTTTGTTTATCCGACACCGTCTTCCAGCCCGTGTACCAGTGTAAATATTGCTTCGGGTGCCCGAATTCGAGTAATGGCTTTCGTGTACGCGATACGGGCTAACGATCGAATGATATTGCACCAGTATGTTTTCTCGCACACCATTCATTAAAAAAAACAATGCGTTTCATGGCATTTTAACTGTGTTTTATTTGACAACGGGACATTTGAAAAATATTATAACTTCGCCATTATGCTACCGCGGCCCTGACGGCCGAGTCTAATTCTTTCTAACCTTTCTTAAGCTGCAAGGCAGCGCCATCTCTTCGCATTGTCGGTAACCCACAATCATCAGGGCCGCGGTAGCATATTGGTCAGTGCATTCGCCCGTCTGCTGCCTGATCCGCGTGCAATTTTTTTAGTATTATTTTCTTTGGAGAAGCTCGATGGCGCAAGTGGATAGCGCGTTCGGCTGCGATCGTTGAAATTAAGCAACTTTCGTAGTGGTCGTTCATTGGATGGGTGACCAACGATTACTATCTCGAGCTCCTCCGCGCTTCGGAAGGCACGTTTAGCCGTTGGTCCCGGCTGCATCTGCAGTCGTTAGCACCCGACAATTCGCACTCGGCCCGCATAGTGGGCCATGGCCCAATCTCCCTATTCCATCCATAGGGAAGGCCTGTGCCCCAGTGGGAACATTATAGGTTGATGATGATGATGATGAATATTTTCTTTAGATTTAAACATCGAGCAGTTATATGCTTAAAATAAAAATATTAGAGCTATTTAGCAGCCCTAGTAGCTTCATTTGGCGGGAGTTGGTGAATGCGTGTTTCACGTCGTTACATATTGGATGCAGAGTGGCACCGTGTGACGTACAGACAGTTTGACAAGCGGCGGTATTAGCACCGAGTACTTTTAATATGTTTCCAAGGAATTGAAGTAGGTATTCAATTAAGTTACGATGGACCATGTACTAACCTACTTACCTTTTGTGGGTAACTTATCTAAGTAGCTATTCGCTATGTGCGAAGTTCATGGTGAAGTGAAGTAAGGAAAGCGATCGCAGAGCTTGCCGTGGCAGAAATAGAATAGAATAGAATATATATTTGTTTCTTAGGTTTTTTAACATAAGAAGGAGATAGAAAGCCTCTCTTGAGTTTGTTTCGCCGGTTCTTCTCAGGAAGGTCTCCCAATTTTGGAACCGTGGTAGTTTACGGTAGTTAGGGTCAAATAAATAAATAAACTCAAAATTACAAACAAGAATTTCAAATAAAATACTTTATTAAGTAAATTAAATAATAAATTCATACATAGACAATAAAATTTTAAAAATCTTCCAATGAAATAACCGAATGCTCAATATAAGTCTTTCGAAGGTAGCTCGACAATTTTAAATAAAAAATCATTATTCTGACGATGCAGACCTGAAAAGGCTGCGAAACGTCAATAAATAACCCGTCAACCCGTAAAAACTAGTTTTATTTAGAATAGAATATAATTTTATTAACCCTCATATTACAGATATGACACATTTACATTTACAAAAAAAAACTCAGGGATAACCAGGACCCTGCCTCAGCATTAGCTGATGCGACATTGTGTCGCACCAGCGCTGTTATTCTGGCAGTGCCTGTTTAGTGACACAAAAAAAGACATGTATTTTTTTTTGAAAGGATGTATGGACTTAACATCCTTTGCTTTCAAGTAACAAAAAATTAAGATAAATAAAAGTCAATCAAAAAAAACACAACAGCAAGCAAAGCAACGCAAAACAAAGCTAAAAAATCATTTAAATTCAAAATATACATGATTGATAACGCAACCGCAACCGCCACCCAAAAATAGCAGTTACTCATAATAGCAATAAGCATAAGTTAAGTACTGTTATTCAGAAAACAGGACATACTAGTGTCAAAAAGTACGCACCAATCATCAATATAATATTATGGTGCATCATCATCATCATCAGCCTTTAATAACCCCACTGCTGGAGCACATGCCTTCGCTATGGATGGAATTGGGAGATTGGGCCATGTCCCACCACGCGGGCCCAGTGCGGATTGGCGGGTGCTAACGACTGCAGATGCAGCTGGGACCAACGGCATAACGTGCCTTCCGAAGCATGGAGGAACTCGAGATAGAAAAGTTTTGGTCACCCATCCAACGACCGACCACTGCGAAAGTTGCTTAACTTCAACAATCGCAGCCGAACGCGCTAACCACCTGCGCCATCGAGCTCCTCATAATAGTATTATGGTTAATTTTCCGTAATTTGTTTGTTAATTGTTAATCCTAACATCTTTTTTAAACTTTTCCATCCTTTCGCTATCAATGTATATTTAGGTTCCTTTGTTTGTCATTTTTTTTTCATCCCACCACCTCGGAAAGTGTAATTTTGCGCTTCGAAATCTGGCTGGAAAATTCTATTTTATTCGCTTGAGCGGCAAAGTAGATTTGAATTTAGAACATCACATATAATGAGTACTCAATATAATTGTAAATTCAAAACGTCATTAAACCTATTTAATGTAACCTCTATGGTGCCAAATTTATGATTAGAACTTTTTAAATTGTGAAAAAATTTAAATTTGGAACCTTCTTGGTTTCTTTGTTTTATTTGCGTGCTTCGCGCCATTCTAGTTTTTCACGTTTTATTGCTTAATATAATTAACATAACCTAAAAACTGTACAAAAAAATCAACTAAAATGAGTGACATTAGCGACGATGAAGTTTATCTAACGCCAACTGAGTTAACTGAAACAGTTAATAATGCGCAAATGAGCCTTCTCCCTCAGCAATCACGAGAGAAGTATTTGAAACAGTACGATATATTTAACATGTGGCGACTAGCTAAAGGAGCAAAAACTTTCTCCGAAAACGTTTTGCTGGCATATTTTATAGAATTATCTGAGACCAAGAAAGCAAGCACGCTATGGAGTACGTATTCAATGCTAAAATTAACAATTAAGATGAAGAAAGACGTTCATATCGACACCTATCATAAATTAGTGGCATTTTTAAAAAGAGCCTCATCTGGTTATAAACCAAAAAAATCGAAGGTTTTCACAGCATCTGAAATTGCAAAGTTTATTAATGAAGCACCTGATTCCGTATATTTAGCGGCAAAAGTAAGTCAATACGTGTAATTTTTTGTTGTTGATAAAATTGTACATAGTACTTACAATATTTTTAATTTGATTAATTTATTTACGATTATAAATACTTCTTTTGTTACAGGTTGTTCTTATTATTGGTATAACCGGAGCATGTCGAACAAATGAACTTACACTACTTAATGTCAATAACGTATCAAAATATTCTCATAATTCTGATGAATTGCTATTAATTAATGTACTAAATACCAAGACAAAAAAAGACCGCAACTTCGTTATTCGCAAGGAATATGTAAACATTGTTCAGAAATATCAAGCTTTACGTCCTTCTAACACCCCAATTGAACGATTTTTTCTACAATATCGCAACGGAAAGTGTATCCGACAACCTATGGGTCAGAATAAAATTGGCAGTATTCCACGAGAAATAGCAACTTTTCTCGGACTTTTAGAACCCCCGTTATACACCGGTCACTGTTTTAGAAGAACCTCAGCCACACTTTTGGCCGAATCAGGGGCTGATCTTCTATCGCTTAAGCGCCATGGAGGCTGGAAGTCTAATTCGGTTGTAGAGGGATACATAGAGGATTCAATCCAAAGTAAATCAAAAATTTGTAATAGTATCGTGGAGGCCATAACGCTGAAAGAACCTCTGTCAGATTCTTGGTCTCGCCCTTCTACATCTAAAATGAGCCCCCATAAGATTGGAAACAATAGCCCTCTCTCGCCAACATTTACGCCAATAGAATCCAATGAATCGGCACAACTATTTAAAATTACTGATACGAGTAGTTTACCACAAAACAGCGCACAATTCACAAACACCAACATAACATTACCTAACAAAAATATTAAACTTAACATAAGTAACTGTAGCAACGTTACATTTAATATTTCTTAATTATTTTCTACTTCTTATTATTTTCTTCAATTTATAGATTATCTTAATGTGTTTTAATTGAAATAAAAATATTTTGTCATTATAAATTGTTTTCTTTTTCATTTTGTCATTTCCTCGCTGAGGTGGGATGAAAAGTTACGTATTGCACTCGAGTGGAAAGATTTTTCACCTTGTGCTCGTTTGTTTCCCTCGCTGACGCTCAGGATTCTAATTTAGAATCACTCGCTGCGCTCGTGATTCAACTTTAGAATCCTTCGCTTGCTCGGTCATCCAAATCGAGCACGCGGTTAAAAAGGAACTTTCCACTCTTGTATAATAAATAACTATTATTGTTATTATGTTTTGTGCGCCAGGCTTAACAATATTTCCAGTATGTTATTGTGTGTTATGAGTTTACGTGTATTATAGTACAAAGTTACTGAGCCTTAGTCAGAAATGAGGTAATCCGACAGAACCAGAGTTATCGACATAGCCCACCGGATTAGCAAGTTGAAGTGCCAGTGGGCTGGCCATATTTGCCGAAGAACCGATAACCGTTGGGGTAGGCGAGTTCTGGAGTGGAGACCGCGTCTAGGCAAACGTAGTGTAGGACGTCCTCAGGCGCGATGGAGTGACGATTTGCGTAAGGTGGCTGGCAGGAGCTGGATGCGAGTAGCCCAACCAAGATCGATCTGAGTGGCGTGCAATGGGAGAGTCCTATGTCCAGCAGTGGACTAGGATAGGCTGTTGATGAGCCTTAGCCATTCACAAATTAATATTTATCTAGATATAGGTAGGTACTTACTGAGGTATTACATAGCGTTGGTTGTGACAGAAAAAAAACAATACTCATTTTGCAGTAAAATATAAGTACTTTATTTAACATGATTTTTCATTGATTTATTCTGATAATTATTACAGCAATAACGTATTACGACTTCAGCATAATGTTAATATTTTTTTCTAAATAAGTATTACCAATACAATTGTAAATTCACGGATCTTTTGTCACTAAACTAGCCGGCCCTAGGCCAATGACGGGTGCTAAGCCCGCTACCGCAACAGCGCGTAATGGTCTGTAATCATAAATAAAAAAATATTTATTTATTTATTTAATAGGTTTACCAGAAATTGTTACAATAATACAATTTAAATATTACAGCGATAGTACTATAGTTAAAAGCACAAATTATTAAAGGTAAACACCACATGCAAAGTTAATAATTACCAGTAACATCAAAATAAGACATTTACAAAATTCTGCCAATTTCTAAAGCTACATAATATCAACATACTACAACGTGGTCAATTGCAAGTGCTGACGAAATGCATAATACATCATTCTGTGAAAATTCTATCTGTCTATCTATCACGGTTCAGGGGGTCAATCGCCTAACGGAATAGCTACGGCTATCGCTTTAGCTTACGATTTTATTTTGTTATTTCTGACCGCCGAAAGTTTTCAAATACCCAGCTCGGAAGAAGATCTTCCCCTTTGGCCTTTCTACACGTTAAACGCAATTTGATTTTTATTGATGTTTTAAGACCTAATTTCATGAAACCAATGCATATGCTTCGTACGCTCCGCGCTTCACCTAGTGTGGTATGCTTAGAAGGAAAGAAAAAAGACCTTACCTTAGATACCTTACGCTCATTTTCTTTTATTTTGTTGTTATCAATACAAAAGATAAGAGTGCGGGGCATTTGAAAACCTACAGCGGTCCGAAATAACAAAATGAAAACGCAAGTGATAGCGATATTCTTAGCAATCCCGTCAGGCGATTGGCCCCCAGGAGATACAGTCTGGAGTCAAAAAGACAGACGGACAGTGGAGTCTTTGTAATAGGGTTCCATTTTTTTTACCCTTTGTGTATGGAACCCCAATAAAAAGGATATTAAAATTTGTAGAGATACTTCCATACACTAGAAACTATGAATAATTATTTTAGTAGGTATAATAAGATGAGTTCTTAATAATTACCTATGTAAAATCTCCGGGTTTTTAATAAAAAGGTAACATAACAAGTTTAGTGGCAAAAAATTTAACATTAACAGCAAAGGGCATTTCTAATTCATTAAATTCTGTTCTATCTACATTTATTTAATAGCACATTTCAAGCAGCGACATCTGACGAATGTAATAAGTTTCTAAAGTATGTGTTCACAACATTAGATGTCACTCGCCGTCAATACGGAATTTCACAAGGTAGCGTCACCTAGCGGTGCTATGTGGAACACATGTGATGAAAGCATGTTGCGCGTGCTTTTTGAGTCAGGTCTGCTTTTCAAAGCAGTTGTACGTCGTGTAGTTCTACTCTTTTTGTATAGATGGCGCATTTCTAATTATCTTGTGTTTTCATCTTGTTTTTTTACATTTGAATTTTGGTATAAACCGGGCACAATATTCTGTAGATATAAAAAATCTCGTACTAATGTGGTAAATAAAAATCCTATGATAAACTTACTTAAAACCAAGTTCTTCAGCTGGTACTCCAAGCTTTGCTAGCTTAGCTTCGTAAGTAGCCAAGAGATCATCATGAGCCTTCCGAAGACGCGCAGCTTCATACCTCAGATCCTCAACTTGAGTGTCTTTCAATTTGAGAAGGTCCTACAAAAATATTAAATAATTATGCATACCTAAGTTTCCTAATCATTTTATTTAAAATAATGCTTTAGGAAAAAGAATAAAACATTTAATTTCCAGATACTTTGCCTTGCTAATATAATAATACTAGCAAACCAGTGAACCAAATGTTCACCAATTAAAAAAAAAATGGTTGCCTGTAAAGTCGGTTTTACGGGCGAAGATTTTACGTGACAACGTCTTTTTCTCGGTAGAATATTTATTGATATGAATATAATTAAATTGCACAATAGGAACAAGGAATTGAATGAAAATAAGAATTGCACAAATTTTAACTATAGAAATATATTTTGTTTACTAAAACATTGTACATGTAAACTTAAACTTAACACGAGAGACTCATCGTAACGTTACCGAGCGTTACACTTTTTCATAAGTGACTCCCAGCCGCAACCTAATTTAAGACGTTGTCACGTCAAAAAAGAAATAGTTATTTATTATACAAGAGTGGAAAGTTCCTTTTTAACCGCGTGCTCGATTTGGATGACCGAGCAAGCGAAGGATTCTAAAGTTGAATCACGAGCGCAGCGAGTGATTCTAAATTAGAATCCTGAGCGTCAGCGAGGGAAACAAACGAGCACAAGGTGAAAAATCTTTCCACTCGAGTGCAATACGTAACTTTTCATCCCACCTCAGCGAGGAAATGACAAAATGAAAAAGAAAACAATTTATAATGACAAAATATTTAAGCAATAAAACGTGAAAAACTAGAATGGCGCGAAGCACGCAAATAAAACAAAGAAACCAAGAAGGTTCCAAATTTAAATTTTTTCACAATTTAAAAAGTTCTAATCATAAATTTGGCACCATAGAGGTTACATTAAATAGGTTTAATGACGTTTTGAATTTACAATTATATTGAGTACTCATTATATGTGATGTTCTAAATTCAAATCTACTTTGCCGCTCAAGCGAATAAAATAGAATTTTCCAGCCAGATTTCGAAGCGCAAAATTACACTTTCCGAGGTGGTGGGATGAAAAATGTATTTAATTAATTGAGAACTTCGGAGATGTTGTGTGGTTTCGTTTGAAATTCGTGATTTCTCGAAAACCGAGAGTGCTACGTTACTCAAATCCGGTTTGTAGTCTTATCAGACTATTCTTAACTTATAACTTAAACATTCTCTTTATCTATCTCTTACGGTTTGGCCGCTGAAACAGCACCACAGACGGACGGACGGACGGACTTGTCTAATAGATAAGAAATTAATAATTATAATAATTTATAAGTACTAAAACTCGTATCCAATGAAGTTAATTTATAAAACTCGATGCAATAGGCAATTATATAATTTAAATTATGAAAAACGTGAACGAAATGTCGCTTGCTTTGTCACATTATTCTACGTCACGTCAGTCCCCGATAAAAAAAATAGTGCACTCTTAAATAAGAAAAAAAAGCAGCAGCAAGCGCTGTTTAATGTAATGTAATGTAATACGACCTTTACTCACATGAATCTCTCTAGGGCCTAAGTCCCTTGCTTCTAAGTTTTTCAGTTTGGCTTCCAGTAACGCAGTTTTTAGTGAAGATTTTTGCTGGACCTCCAATACCGCTCTGCGAATAATAATTTACCTAACTGCTATGTCTAAATCTAAAGGAATTTTTACTAGAAAAAGATCCACACGGACCAGTCAGCGGTCGGGACTTGAATCCGCACCCTCCACTTCCGGGCGGATGCACTGACCATTATGCTACCGCAGCCCTAATGGTCGTGCCGTATTGTTTCTAGTATTTCTTACGCTGCGAGGCAGCGCTATCTCTTCGCATTCTAGGTAACCCACAATGTGAAACGAATGCCTGTAGTTATATTTTTATTTTTTAAGCATTTAACTGATATATGTTTAAATATAAAGATTTTTTTACTAGATTCTATAATAGTCCCCGACATGGGAGGGTGCAGGTTCGAGTCCCATCTGCTGCCTGATCCGCGTCGAATTTTTTCTAGTGAAATTTTCTTAATAATCTAAAGATTTTTTTATTTTTCTATTCTAAAGAAATACCAAATATGTTCCAATTTCGGATTCAACACAGCCTGAAAAGTGTTACGTTAACTTGCTAGGTATAAATAAAAATTGGTGCGTGTACTTATGTAGGCGCGTGAGAAGTTATCCTTCTTTGGCATCGTTTAAAATTAGTTTTTAATTGCATGCAAATAATTAATTACAATAAATTAATAAAAAGTCTGGAAAAGGACACAGTCAATAAAGTTCAGTTTTAATTTGAAAAAATAAATAAATAATCAAAATATTCAATTAAAATCGCTACTGAATATAATTTATTAGAACATATGTGATTTGCACTTGTATGAAACTCAAACACGTATTCCGAATATACAAACTAGAAACATGTGGATAAATATTATAAATATGAATACCTATAACTGTTACTTTATTACAAAAAATAAAGATGTGGTTTTTGGTTCTACTACGCCAATGGTCAAGAGATGGCGCTGTAGTCTCCTGAATCGCGCTTTGGTTCCGTTGTTCCAGATTAATAAATACTTTTGATATTATAAATATGAATACCTATAACTGTTACTTTATTACAAAAAATAAAGATGTGGTTTTTGGTTCTACTACACCAATGGTCAAGAGATGGCGCTGTAGTCTCCTGAATCGCGCTTTGGTTCCGTTGTTCCAGATTAATAAGTACTTTTGATAGGCCTTCACAATGCAGTCGTTAGCACCCACTAAATAGGAATTCTATTTCTATTTTGTTGGTAGATTTTCTTAATGTGCGGTAAACACAAAAGTAACAGCTTCATGCTGTTAAAATTTTGTGTTACAGTGATGCGCGCGCATCTTAAAATTTCACTCTCATCATTTTTTCATAACGCGCCTAAAGAAGTATAACTTCAAAAATTATGTAATAATTAAAGAAAACAACTCGTTTGTTCTTTATTTAATTAGTAGACTTCTTACTTGCATGCAATAAGACAAAAAGAAAATTGACAAAACCTTTAAACAGAATAAGGTGACTTGACCCTATTGCTTTTCTAATGGGGTTAGCGAATTTATTGCCCCATAAGTACTCCCAATTAAATAAATGATTATACTGCACCTAGAAAACCTCGCTTTAAGCTCATCCCTCTCCGCTAAGACCCTGTCGAACCTCACTTGCAGCACCTCATACTCCCATTTCAGGACTTCGAATTGCTTCTCCAAGCATGACAGCTGTTTTGTCTTAGCCTAAAAGAAAAAAAAAACAGGAAGTTGTATGTTGAACTTGTATCTTGATTGACGACCTCCGTGGCCGAGTGGTATGTACACCGGGTTTCATGGTATCGCCAACTCCAGAGGTCCTGGGTTCGAATTCCGGTGGGGCATGTGTTTGTGTGATTAATACGAGCATTGTACTCCAGTCATGAATGTTTAATATGTATTTCTATATAAATATCGAGCCGTTACCGCCAAATTATCGTAAGCGACACTGTTGTCGAAATGCGTTTTTTGTGAAACTAATATTTTAAACCGTAACGGACCCATCTCTGTTGATATTTCCCTCCAAAAGAACACCGTTATATTATAATAGAGGGAAGAATAGAGGGAAATATCAACAGAGATGGGTCCGTTACGGTTTAAAATATTAGTTTCCACAAAAAATGCATTTCGACAAAAGTGTCGCTTACGATAATTTGGCGAGTGTCGCTTACGATAATTTGGCGGTAACGGCTCGATACTTATATATGTATCAGTATATATATTCTAGCCGATACCCTAGCATCCCGTAACACAAGCCTTCGGTGCTTATTTTGGGGCTAAGCTTATTGGGGAGAGTGTGGGAAATATTTATTATAATTACACAGAAATAACGTCTTGGCTCATTACGTCTACCTAGGACAAACAGTCCAGTTGGGCAAATCCAACTTCGAGAAAGAGGTCAACCGACGAATCCAACTCGGATGGGCAGCGTTCGGGAAGCTTAGCTTACTAAGTGCCTGAAAAGAAGGGTCTATGACCAGTGTGTGTTACCAGTGATGACTTATGGGACTGAGACGTGGTCTCTGAATGTAGGCCTCATAACAAAACTCAGAGTCGCGCAGCGTGCTATGGAGAGGGCTATGCTCGTTGTTTCCCAACGTGATAAGATCCAAAATACGGAGATCCGTAGAAGGACCGGTGTGTACGACATAACCCGAAGAGTTAGCACACCGAAGTGGCAATGGGCAGGCCACATCGCTCGAGGATCTGACAACCGTTGGTTAAGAAAGGTCCTCGAGTGGCGACCACGTACCGGACGACGCAGCGTGGGGCGGCCCCCAACAAGGTGGACTGACGACATCGTCAAATGTGCTGGGAGCCGCTGGATGCGGATAGCGCAGGACCGCGCATTATAGCGCTCTATGGGGGAGGCCTATGTACAGCAGTGTAAGGAGAAAGGCTGATGGATGGATAGATGAACGTCTCGGCCGTAAATGCCAATCAAACTTACGGCTAACGCAGCCTTATCCCTGTCATAGTTTGACATTTGTCTCTTCAGCTCCTTATTGTCGACGATAGCTGCTTCCAAAGGTTCTCTCAAACTCTTCGACTCTGCAACTGCGTCTCTGGCTATTTTCTCCGCTCTCTCTTTGACCTTCTGCATTTCTTCCATTTGTTGCTTCAAACTACTGATGAGACCTAGAAAACATTAAATATCGTGACAATGCTATGATCTTAGTATATGAGTGAATAAATTTTTAAACTTTTTCAAATTCGTTAAGTTAAAAAACTCCTATGTTTTGCTAAATTTAAGTACTTACTTAACAGAGATACTTGTATCAGTCAGATTCAAGAAAATATAGAAATATTCACTATCTAGGAATAATCATCGATACGACTGGATATCGATTGGGTTTTCAACTCATTTTAGATTAAGTAGATTCCCAAACATTCTGAATGACTCTGACCCCCTTATTGATAAACAAGGAATAAGCTTAGACTACTTATGCCGTGTTTTGTTCATGTCACTTAAGTGCCATTTGTCATTCAATGAACAGTGACAAAAAATAGAGTAACTAATCCAAGCTTAGTCTTTGTTAATGAATAATTGTAAAAAGCATAGGTAGAGTCTGTGCGGAAAGAGGATGGGATTTAGATTGGAGGGCGCTGTAGTGCTTTTCTACCGTATCTGTAAGGTTTTACCCCTTTTAGACATGATTAAATACAAAAAACCGCAAGAAATCACAACAACAAACAAATCCGTATCAATACAAAACTTTGACGTTTTACAGATTGTTAGTTCCGTTTTTCGCCACGCCAATTCTCTTTCCGCACAGACTCTTTTACATAGTGGTAAAGATAACTGTCAAGTAAACGCATCACTAAATGTCACGCATAAATGCTTAAATCGATAGATAGATTGATAAAAACTCACCAAGGTTATTCAAAGTGATATCATTGTAATAATTCTTCAAGTCTGAAAATGCTCTTTCATGGTGCGCTATTAATTCTGAAAGCTGCTTATTCTTTCTCTCTTCTACTTCCGCTATTTCTGTTCTATGCTTCACGGTCAACTCAACTTTTGTTTCATGGAGTTTCTTTTCAGCTTTATCCTCTATCTGTCTTGCACGCTCTTCAAATACCTCTCTAGTTTTTGATAACTCTTCAGCATGTATGAGTTTGGCTCGTCTTAATTCATCTTGAGCTGCTAGAACCTTTTCTCGCATTTCTTGCCTTAAACTTCTTTTGTCGTTTAGCAATTCCAGCTCTTGTTCAGCATGTTCTTCTTTTGCTGCTTTTAGGGCTACTAAGTTTTCTGCTCGTAAAGCAGCTGCAGCCGCTTGTTGTTCATATTTCAAATGCTTAATTTTCTGCTTTTCGGTCTCTAATAGAGCTTCGTTTTCTTCTTGCGCTTCTTCTGTGGCTCTTTCCCTGTTTCTGAGCTCGGCTTTCGCTTCTTCGAGTTGCTGTCTAGTGATTTCCCAAAAGGTCCTGATTTTGTCTCTTTCTAATTGGAAGTAGTTTCGCTCTTCTCTTTCTTTGTCTAGTTCTTCTTTGACTCTAAGAGTAAATTGCTCAAGTTTCTCTCGAGTCATTTCGGAAGTGTCAACTCCATCGATGATTATGGCTAAAAAAGGAAAAAATATAGATTAATTACGTATCTGTGTGATGTTCTTCACTCTATTGCTCATTTGTAAACAATTTCTTAAAAATATTTAAAACTCACAATTATACTCTAATACAGTCTATACTAGTACAGGTGTTACCATAAAACACCAAATATACATTAAATTTTTGGTATTTACAACTTTTATTTATAAGGTTGAATTGTAAATGTGAAATAAAAAAAAATATTATTATAATTATGTTGATACGCTTTTCAGCCACTAGTTCATGGAAACTCGATACTTTGTTTTTATTTTGAGTGTGTCTGCTGTTGGTCGCAGATAACATTTACAGCGTCACCGGGTTTGGGGACGGCGAGATCCTAAGGGGACCTCAAGCCGAGAATTGGCGAGTACCTCTAGAGGTATTCCAGGCGGACGGCATCTCCCCACGGGGGGAGTCTCCTCTCTGTCCGGAGACTCTAGACCACTCGAACCTGAGGGGGTCGGCTCAACTAGAGGGCGTCTCTAAGACTCGGATCTCGGCTCTAGCTAGCCGTTGTCGTGGGGGGTCGGTACTTTGAGGCGTTCTTGGGGACAAAGCCAACATCTAGAGGCCTTTTAAATGATTGTTTATTTATAAAGTTAGATGGCTGCATCTATGGATATCCATCCCTTTATGTACCATTGAGATTATTATTCTTATTATAATCTTATCGTAATATTTTCACCATAATAGATAAAAATATCACTTACCTGCAGCCTTTTTTCCACCGCCTTTGCCTTTTGGTGCCTGAAATTAAAATTAATAGTAAAATTAAAAAGATTATACATTATTATTTTTTTATAGATAGGTCCGACAAATGACTCCACCCCACCTTATGTTAAGTGAAGGTGAAGTCCAGACGCGAAGATAGCTGATACAGCAGTTCTACCTGCCATACCAGCCATCCTCACCCTGCCGGCCTGCATGTTGCTTCTTCACGCCTCTTTTAAAGGATCTCAGGTTGTAAGAGGGAGGGAACACGTGAGCGGGCAGAGCATTCCATTTACGGATAGTGCGACAAAGAAATGAGTCACCAAATTTCTTTGTACGCATTGGAATTGTGGCCAGTTAGACGGTGACAACGTAAGCCAGCGCGCGTGGTCTTCTGAAGGAAAGGAGAGGGTGGGATACGAGAGAATAACTCTTCGGAACACTCGCCGTGGTACAGACGATAGAACGCGCTTAGTGACGCCACGTCACGGCGTAACTGAAGAGGCTCAAGGTGTTTAGTCACCCCCTCATCGCCTATGATGCGGATCGCGCGTCGCTGTAACCTATCCAAAGCATCGAGCAAGTACTTGGCGGAGCCATCCCAGAGGTGCGAGCAATATTCCACGCAGGACCGCACTTGCGTTTTGTACAACAAGCACAGTTGATCGGGCGTGAAAAAACGCCGCACCTTGTTCAGGACCCCGAGTTTGCGTGAAGCTGTTTTGATCACGGTTTCGATGTAGTTCTTTGGATTCAGGTCTGAGCGAACTTCCATACCAAGCATGGAAATAAATAGATATTTGAGATTATAATTAGCTCACCATTCTGCTGTGCGGATTTTTTATTTATTACAAAAAGTTAAAAAGTAAATAACAAGTTATCTGTAATATTCAATAGGATTATATTTTCAACGCAACTTTTTCTCTGTACAATGTTATCAAAATAAGATTTGACGGCGTCGCGGCGTCGTTAAGCTAAATAAACCGTTACCATGACGACGGAATGCATAGATACTGGCGAAATTCAAGGTCCATGCATGATGATAGATACCAACAGATACGATATGTTTATTTAACATCCTAAATAGATACAGTTCATTACACTACACTACTTACATAATGTCTTTTTCAATAAACTAACAGCCGGCCGCTACTTCGGCTGCATTAACTTTTGTTTTTGAGATTAACTCAGGAACCTATACTTTATTCTTGATAAAAATAATCCTAGATGTGTGCCAAATTTCTTTCAAATCCGTTCAGCCGTTTTGCCTGATTGAATAACAAGTATACAAACTTTCACGTTTATAATATTAGTAGAAAAAGTAGGAAATAAGCTTATGAAATAGCTTATACAATATATATATTAAAACTATTTCCAGGAAGCTAGATTTTTTTGTGTGTGAGCAATATAGTGTTTAACATGTATAATAAAGAAATTAACCAATGTGTTCCTTAGGTTCCTTAGTTGGTGGATGCTGGATTTTGCATTATGATTTATAATTTTGATATCCATCATACTTAATCTTACCTAACGTAAACTCATTAAACCTTATCTACTAAGCATTTAACTGCTAGATGTTTAAATCTAAAGAAAAGTTTACTAGAAAAAGAAACCACGCGGACCAGGCAGTGGACGGGACTCGAATCCGCACCCTTCGCAATCCGGGCGAATGCACTGACCATTATGCTACCACGGCCCTATTCGCCGCGTCGAAATTTTCCTATCCTTAAGCTGCAAAGCAGCGCCATCTCTTCGCATTGTAGGTAACCCACAATCTCAAATGAATACTTTTCAAGTATTAAACATTTGAAAGAAGAAATAGAAATATTAGTTATGTTTTTATTAATTTTTAAGCATTTAACTGCTAGATGTTTATAAATATAGTATAAATTGCAGTTCGTTGAAGTTAAACAACATCCGCAGTGGTCGGTCATTGGATGGCTGACCAAAAATCTTATATCTCGAGTTCCTTCCTTCGGAAGGCACGTCAAGCCGTTTGGTCCCGGCTGCGTCTGCAGTCGTTAGCACCCGCCCCGCGTGGTGGGTCATGGCCCAATCTCCCTATTCCATCCATAGGGAAGGTCTGTGCCCCAGGGCATTAATAGGCTGATGATAATGATTATTTATTTAATACACCATCGTAAACAAAAAAGAGAGATTAAACATAAATCAATCAGTGAAAAGTGTCACTTTTCGATGACGTAGTTTTCCAACTAACGTTTTAAGTCAAATCTTTCATTAATTTTTTTGGTAATTACTCTGAGAAATTAGGTGTTTAAATTGAGAAAAATAATCATGTGATTAAAATTCAAAATTTACGTTACTTTAATTCTTGTGGTGGCCTCTGGTTTTCAAGATGTTGGCACGAGCATACGACACGTTGATGTATGGAGCCATATTTTTGAGCCTTTTCTTCTTGGATTACGTGTTGGGCAATGGTTTTGTGGACGTCTCACAGAAGGTAAGTACGTTAGGATATGCTACAATGATCACAGAACTCAGAAAGAGGTTAGAATAATAATAAATAAAACTAGTTTTTACCTTCGAAGAAGGTAGCTCGACAAATTAAATAAAAGTTTTATTCTGACGACGAAGCCTGTAAAGGCTACGAAACGTCAATAAATAAATAAAATTTCGTGCATTAACCCGTAAAAACTAGTTTTATTTAATGAGTGATGTGCGTGAAAACCTAAGAAACAAATAGAATAATAATAATAATAAATTCTTTTATAATTTCTTCACATAAGTAGAAAAAAGAAACATTTACAATAAAGTGCTTAATTACAATATTTCATTACTTAATGTGAAGACTGGTGTTTGCAACAGGATAAACCTGTTCTACAAGACAAGCCACCTTTGTACTATTTATGTGATTAATGTATTTATTAATATGAGAAGTGCTTAAGAAACAAATAAAAACACTATAATAAAAAATAAAATAAAAAAGTAATTGTGTGTGTGTGGTGTGTGTGTGTGTGTGGGTGTGAGCGCATGCGTGTGTGTGTGCGCACGCGCGCATGTGTGTGTACGCACGCGCGCATGTGTGTGTTTTAGTGTGCGCACGCGCGCATGTGTATGTGATCGAGGACTAGATAACCTCGATCATATATAATAAATAAAGAATGCCAGCTAATATTGACTTAATATATATTTACAAACAAAATAGAACACATGAGTACAAAACAACGTATCTAAGCAAATAACAACCAAAAACTTGAAGTGCATGTCAGTCAGTATATTCAAATAATTCTGACAACCACAAACCATACGAATAACAGCAATGAGATTACACGCAAATATAAACTCCTAGCAATTTGTCGCTCTAACACTCCTCCTTAATCTCATGCCTGTTAGTGTACCTACCATATAAACAGCCATCTTATTCACACACAACTCAAACCCATGCTTTTCACACACCATTCAAATTTACCTCTCAACAAACACTTTGTCAAAACATCAGCTGTCATTCTATTAGTTTCCTTGTACCTCAAATGAATGTCACCATTCTCAATCGCCTCACGTACAAAGTGATATCTTACATCCACATGCTTCGTACGCTGGTGATGTACAGGATTCTTAGCAATTGCCATAGCCGACTGACTATCAGTGAAAATTGAGATTGCGGGATTGGGTCCATCTCTTAATTCTGCAATAAACCTGCGAATGAAAATTGCCTCTTTTGCAGCCTCTGATAACGCTACATACTCAGCTTCTGCAGACGATATTGCCACTGTACGTTGTTTCTTGCTCTCCCAAGAAATAGCTCCTCCTTGAGATAAAAATACCCAACCTGAATTTGATCTTCTATCAAAGTCTCCGGCGTGATCTGCATCAGCATAACCTAATACAAACTCATTTTGGTTTCCCCTTCTATAGAATAATGCTAGATCCTTGGTTCCCATCAAATAGCGGAGCACTCTCTTTGCAGCTATCCAATGCTCGTCTCCGTAGCTGTTGTTAAACTGACTGAGCTGACTTACTGTGTGTGCTATGTCAGGGCGCGTACAAACAGCAAGGTACATCAGTGAACCAATCAATGCGCGATACGGTACTTTTTCATCAAGTTCTTGATCAAGCTGTGGCCTCTCTAGCCTTTGTCCTGGTACTGCTGGAGTAGCAACTGGTTTACAGTTCTCCATTCCAAATGTACGAATAACCTTCTCTATGTATCCCTTCTGATCCAGTTTGATCCCTTCACTATCTTGTGCTATTCGTATTCCCAACATCAACTTCGCTGTGCCAAGGTCCTTCATCTCAAATTTGTTTGTGAGATCGGTTTTAACCTTCCTTAATTCCTCAACATTATTCCAGAACAATAAAATGTCATCTACATATATGGCAAGAATAATTACTTTATCTCCTGTAGATCTAATATAAACGCATGGTTCATACTCAGACCTCTTGAATTTAAGTTTCAGCAATTCCAAATGAAGTTTTTTATTCCATGCTCTGGGAGCTTGTTTAAGTCCGTACAATGATCTTTGCAACTGGCACACATAATTCTCCTTTCCCTTTTCAACGAAACCCTCTGGTTGCTTCATATAAACCACCTCGTCCAAGTTACCATTCAAGAATGCGGTTTTCACGTCCATGTGGTCTATATTAAGATTCATATGAGCTGCCAATGCAATCAATGTCCTCAAAGAGCTATGTCTAATAACTGGAGAAAATGTCTCAAAATAATCTATTCCATGCCTCTGGCTGAAACCTCTTGCAACTAGGCGTGCTTTGTATCTCTTATTTCCCCCTGCCTCTTCTTTGATTTTAAATATCCATTTAGAATCAACGACGTTGCAAGATTCTGGAGGTAACGTCAATTTCCATGTTTTATTTTTCTTGAGTGCATTAAGCTCCTCGTCGATCGCAGCTTTCCATAAGTGTTTGTCTCTTCTAGACAATGCCTCATCCACACTCTGCGGATCATCACAATCAGCTATTGTGTGATATGTAATGCAGTCAGGTATCGCTTTCTTCTTTCTATCTCTTAAAGGATATCTTCTTGTAACAGAACTCTCTTCATTTGTTTCTGTTTCTAAATTCTCATGCAGAATATCATCATCATTACTACTTACAATATTTACAGGTTCATTTTCCGATTCAATTTGATCTCTTTGAAAATCTTGAACTTCTATGTGATCTTCATATTCTGTGACGTTATCCTTAAAACTAAGCGGTGCTGACTTCTCAACTCTTTCAACTGTTTGCTTACAGTTTATATTCTCGTTCTCGAAAAACACAACATCTCTGGCCTTGCTTAAATGATTAGTTATTGGGTCTATTAAGCGGTAGCCTTTCGATTCTTCACAGATGCCTACATGAATCATTTCTTTAGATTTAGCGTCCCATTTCGTCCGTTTTACTTTTGGTACGTGAATAAACGCTTTGCATCCGAAAATTCGTAGCATGCTTAAGTCTTGCTTCCTTCCAGTCCACGCTTCCTCTGGCGTTTTACCTTTAACTGCAATGGTCGGTGATCTATTCTTTAAATACACAGCGTAGTTCACCGCCTCTGCCCAGAACTTTTCATCTAGCTCTGCTTCCTGAAGCATACTTCTAGCTTTTTCTGTTATTGTGCGGTTTGCACGTTCTGCAACTCCATTCTGCTCGGGTGTATACTCAACCGTTAATTGCTGTTGTATACCACACTGCTTCAAAAATTTCTTCATCTGCTCATTGACATACTCCTTGCCATTATCCGATCGAAGAATTTTTAATTTCTTTCCAGACTGGTTCTCAGCAAATGTCTTGAAATCTAAAAATTTTTGAAAGACTTCACTTTTGTTTTTGATAAAATATACAAAAGTTTTTCTTGTAAAATCATCAATAAACGTTAGAAAATATTTACAGCCCGACATTGAGTCTTTACTCATTGGTCCACATACATCAGTATGAACCAAACCTAAAATATCATCAGCTCTGTTTGCTAAACCCTTTTTAAACGGTTGTTTGGTCTGCTTTCCCATCAAAC